GTGATGGTTTTTACATTGATATTTATTTTATCAGAGATTAATATGGCTACTCCTGCTTTTTTCTGGTTGCCATTTTCTTGGTATATTTTCCCCCCACCCTTTTACTTTGAGCCTGTCTTTATCTTCATTTTTCAGGTGTGTCTCTTGTAGACAACATATTGATGGATTTTGTTTTTTTATCCAATCTGGCAGATTGACTTGAAGTCTTTCTTAAGCCACTTGCTCTCAAGTCAAGCCCAACTCCTGACAGCCGCACAGGGTTTCTAATAGCTGGTCTTCTAGGTTAGATAACCAGGCCTTTCCTCCAAGTTACCTCTGGGTGGACTCAAACCCCCAAACTTTTGATTAGCAACTGACCACATTAGCGGTCTGCATTCCCCATCAGCTAGTTTTTTAGAACACTTACTTCCTTGCAATTGTTATGTGAATTTCTTTGTTTTGGGGACAACTTCAGAGCATGAGTTAGCTGAAATGGTTTCAGATCTCCAGATATGGTAAATGCCTCCTTATAATAAATGTTCCGTGATTAAGTTAGGAAAGGAAAAGTTTCCTGTATACCTAATCAAATTGTTTTCAAAGTTTAAAACTGTATCATTGATTTTCTTTCCATCCAGAAGCAAATAATCTTGTGAACTGGCAATATTGGTTGCCTCCCAGGAGAACAGAGGGATGGAAAACTTTTTGCTATACTGTCATTAAGTTTTTCATGATGTGAATGTTTTTATTCATTAAAAATGTACTTTTTTTTTATTGTTGTGTACCGTCATATCAGAAACAGCTGGCACAGGAGGAAATTGCCCCTCCTTCTCCAGTGGAGCATCTGGTGGATTCAAACCATGCACCTTTGGGATTGCAGTGCAGCTTCTTGCCACTAGGCCACCAGAACAAAACAAAACAAAACACCACAAACACACACAAAAAAGCCCTAATAAAAATGGATAATGTAAGAAGTACAAAACCAAAATATCTTACGAAGAAGAAGTTGATTCGACCATACTTATGTGAAATGTTTAGAATAAGTCAAGTTTATTAGTAGTCGCTGGAGCTTGGTGAGCGGAGCTGGTGATACTAATGCAAAGGCAGCATCTCTCTGGTGGTTCAGATCCTCCAGTCTCTCTGAGGGAGAAAGATGCACAGTCTCCTCCTGTGTAATGTGTGATTTAAGCCTCAGAAAACCCACTAGAGAGTGAGCACTGAGTTCTGACTCAGGGGTAGTGAGTTTGGAGTTTGGAGGGTTTGCTTCCTTTTTTAGTTTTGGGGTTGTGTGGTAAGCAGGCGTGAAATAGGGATGCAGTTCTTAAGGGGTGCTGAGTTGATAATAAGGATGATAAATTTGGAAATGGGTAGTGGGCGTGTTTGCATAACAGAATGAATATCATTAATGTTACTGAATTGTGCATGTAAAATTAGTCCAAATGGCAAATGTTGTGCTACATATATTTCACCACCATAGCCAAAAGGCATTTTAGAAAACATTTTAAAGTTTGAGTGTGAGGACAGAAAAATACTTGGTGAACATATATGTGCTATTCTTCTTTCTTAGTCGTTAAGTAAGAAAACTACAGATTTGATCTAACAGCCACCTTGGTATATACATATGTTTTATAGATGAGACCCAGAGAAGAGAAGGGTCTGACTGGAGAAGCCCCAGTTGGTTAATGGAAGACCCGGAACTGGAAATTCTGGTCCCAGGCTCTTTCTGCTCTTGTCTCTCACGCACACTAATCATTGGGATTCCTGTGAATTGTAGAGATAAATATATATCCCTCCATGGTCCTCTGGTTCTCAGTGATCTGCTTTCAGTGAGGGGAACCGTGTGGAACATTCTGTAGAGCTGAGAAAGAGTGGCAAGCTCCTTGACAATATAATGCACATGTGAGGTCTCACAGCTGAGTCCCTGAGAGCTGGCTGTCTCATTGTCATCTCCTTCCTCAGCCAGGGAGGTGCTTCTTCCTGGAGGGAGCCCCATGAAATGTGAGGAGATAACCCTGCCCTGTCTATTACTGTGTTTGTGTTTCTCGTTACAGAGTCATCAGTTATGAGTGCTGTCCTGGATATGAAAAGGTCCCAGGAGAGAAGGGCTGTCCAGCAGGTGAATATTAGGTGCCGTTGAGTCTAATATGAACAGCAGATCTGAACCCTGTCCTATCCTGTGCCATCCTCATCATCTCTGACACGCTGATGCCCATTGCAGCAGTCACTGTGTCAATCCATCTGGATGAGAGCCTTTCTCTCTTTCTCCAACCTTCTGCCTGTCCAAACCTGATGTCTCTCTCCAAGTAATAGCTCCTTGTAACAACATGCCCAAAATATGAGGAGTTGAAGCTTTTCCCCCTGAAAACCCACTGGAGGGTCAGCTATGAGTTGGTTTCTGACTTGACAATATATAACAACATTCGGGGTGTACTTTGCAACCTAAATGTTTTTGAGTCAGAGCTTTGCTTGACTATAGTCCAACTAATTAAAAATGACAGTTGAGTTCAAGCAAGGAGGTGTTTAACTTACTGTTTGAAGATGTGTATGTAGTGGCGTGAAGCTTCTCAGAAATAGACTGGCCTTGCGCCCTTTTATGCATTTCTCCACCCCTCTTTATCTGACATAGAAGGGAGGATGTGATCTGCTTGGAGTGGCACTCCCAGAGCCTCATTCCTCTTTCTGTCCTCTGCCCTGCAGCCCTCCCACTCTCAAACCTTTATGAGACCCTGGGAGTCGTTGGGTCTACCACCACTCAGCTGTACACAGAGCGCACCGAGAAGCTGAGGCCTGAGATGGAGGGACCCGGCAGCTTCACCATCTTTGCCCCCAGCAATGAGGCCTGGGCTTCCTTGTCAGCTGTGAGATGACCTCCTTGTGCTTCCTGGGGAGTGCCACATTCCTCAGAGGGGTGGGCTGGCGGGCATAATGAATGCAGAGCCTACAAGTAACCTACTGGGTTCCAGAAAACTTTGTCTTAAAGAGTTCTCTCCAATAAAGCCATGAACTTGAGCTAAAATATACCTCACTCAGTTGCTTCCAATGTCCCATTGATTCATCTGGACACAGTGACCTTGAATCTTTGGCAGAATGGCGGCCCAGGTTTAATGTGGCTTAAGAATCGTGATTCCCAAAGTAGCAAGGGCCCATCTCTTGCCATAGAACTTGAATAGGGACTCTGTTACTCACGCTGTCGTTCTTTGTAGGAGGTGTTGGATTCCCTGGTGAGCAATGTTAACATCGAGCTGCTCAATGCCCTTCGCTACCACATGGTGGACAGAAGAGTCCTGACTGATGAGCTGAAGCACGGCATGTCCCTTACCTCCATGTACCAGAACTCCGACATCCAAATCCACCACTATCCCAATGGGGTATGGGACTGTCCAGTTATTGTTCTTGGCCCCCAAGCACCTTGTAGTGTGGCTTTGCAGTAGATAGCATCTGCCTCTTTGTACCTGTCTCTCCTTCACCCTCTAGTTCCATAGTTGTGAGATCCACATTGTTACTGTGTTCAAAAGCATTTGTTAGCATTGTTTTCACTTCTGGGAGCTTTGAGGCTGTGTCTCTGGTGCGTGAGTGATTTATCATTGCTTCTTCTCTGGGCAGATTGTGACTGTCAACTGTGCTCGCCTTCTGAAAGCTGACCACCATGCCACCAATGGCGTGGTTCACCTCATTGACAAGGTCATCTCCACCATCAGCAACAATATCCAGCAGATTATCGAGATCGAGGACACCTTTGAGACCCTTCGGGTGAGGCCTTGGTTGGGGACACAGTGGTTTTTCGGGAGGGCTCTAATGATGATCTGAAGATCTCTTTTGTGGAGAGACATGGGGAAGTTTCCCTAACTGCCCAAAAAGGTGGAGAAATCCATTAACCAGAAGCTCAGCTTGACTACAAAGAAACATCACCATCACCACATGTGAAAATCTCTCTGCCTAGCATTTCCTTTACAAAGCTTTCCTTTTCCTTGGCTTCCTGAAGATCTCAGTGGTTTGTGGATGGAGCAGAATGAGCCCTTTACTGCTGAGTTCTCTGAAGCCTGGGCTTCCTGGGTCTGCACAGTTGATTCCAGAGGTGGGAGAGCCTCTTCTCCCAAAACAAATGGCCTAGAAAGCTGCCTGATTCTTCAGGACCACACATCCCCACCATGGAACCTCTGCTCTGGCCAGAGGCATGTTTCCTTGGAGCTCATACCAGCAGAGCAGCCGGGTTGGTTTCCGACTTCTCCATGGCCACAAAAATAGCACTCCTTCCTCCTGCTCTTACAACTGGAGTGGCAAGCAGGCGTTCCTCTTGGCAGCGACCGCTTAGGAGGAAGTGAATGCAGGCTGCTCCATCAGGGATTTTGCCCTGATTCAAAAAGAACTTCCTAACCACAAAGGATACGGTGTGGAAGTGGGCAGGTTCCTCCCATGGAGATCTCTAACACAGAGAGATAAACACGCACAAGCTGGCTGGCATGGATGTGGCCCTGGGATGGGAAGGACAGCTCTTAGTTGGCTCTGGAGGGATCAGAGGGTCTCTTCTATAAACTCTCCCACCAGTCCTGCTTTTTTTCTGGGTCACTCAGAGGTCAGGATTCTCCAGGGGGTTGATGCTTCTGCAAAGATGGTGTGTGCACATATTATAATTAACAATAGCTACATCTCATTGAGTAGCTGATTCTCCCTCCTTCTGTTTGGCAAATAATCCTAATTCTTCCCCTTTGATATTCCCTAACTCCTCTCTTTTCTTCTTCCAACACAATACTTACCAAGCACCTATTCTTACAAGGGTATACATATCATATCATACATATATGTGCACCTATTCTTACAAGGGTATACATATCATATCATACATATACATACACAAGGACATAGAGTTAAATAATACAGATAAATATTTGCCCACAGGGAATCTGGAGAAACAGTAAACATATAAGCCAGTAGCCACAGATTGTGATGAGTGTTACTATGTGCTGGTGAGTCGAAACTGACTCCTAGTCGACCTTCTAGCCAGGTTTTCAGAAGCTGTAAATCACACGGGAGGAGACTGCCCATTTTTTGGTGGATTTGAACCACCAGCACAGATCTTACGACTAAGCCACCAGAGCAGAGTGAGTAAATGCTGAGAAAGGGAATAGGAGAGGTCAGTTGAGAGCCCCTAGTCAGAGATCTCGGAAGACATGGCGCTTGAGCAGAGGTCTGATGGATGAGAACGGGCCCGTTCTACAAAATGCTGGGACAAGAGCATAGGAGTGTAAAGGCGAGCGGGGTGAAGACTTGGAGGGAGGAACAGCAAAGCCGGCACAGCCACAGCGAGCAGTGAGGTCAGTGCAGCTCACCGGGGTCAGACCTGCACGGCCCTGCAGACCTGGGAGTTTGTCTTCTTCGTGAGAGCAGAAGGAAGACATTGCTGCATTTCTAAGATCACCTGGCCACCTGTAGAGAACAGACTATGCAGATGTGGTCCTTAGACTCTTGGCACTCACGCAGATAAATACTACCAATAACAGTAGAGAGAAGGCAGCAACCTGTGAAGGTATGTGTAACGCAGGATCTCAAATTGACTTCCATGAAAAGGGACATTTTAGTCAAGATATAGCGAGTGAATACCGAAGTAGCGGGGACAGATGAGGGGGAACAGCAGAGCCAAAGGCCTGGAGCCAGGAGGTCTTTGGGGACTAAACAGACCTTGTGTAAGGCCCCTGGAAGCTGTGGCAAGAGGTGAGCATTGGTTCTGCTTGGTTTTTCATCTTAAGGTTCTTCAGACACTTTCAATTCTTTGAGGGAGGACTGGTTATAATAAGGGGTGTGAGGGGTTTGTGTGTGTGTGTGTGTGTGTGTGTGTGTGTGTGTGTGCGTGTTATCCACAGAGAACCCCAGAGCCTCTGGGGCTCACTCCGTCCTCTCCCTACCCCATAGGCTGCTGTGGCTGCATCAGGACTCAACACCCTGCTGGAAAGTGAAGGCCAGTACACACTCTTGGCCCCCACCAATGAGGCCTTTGAGAAGATCCCTGCTGAGACCTTGAACCGGATCTTAGGTGACCCTGAGGCCCTGACAGGTGAGCCACCTTCATCCCCTGCTGCCACTTCTTTGGAGCAGTTAGAAAGGTCCTTTTCTAGTTCAGAATAGACATGTCACATGCCATGAGGTGACTCGAGATGTCTAGGCGGTTTGGGGACTATCTTATTCCATTGTTCCTGTAGAGGAACCTGGTATCTGTAGAAGCCAAAGCAGAGCCCACACTCTGGCTTTGAAGGGTGAGTATGGAATCTGACAACCTTTGTGTAGAGAAGCAGCTGAAATGAGGGGGGAGGCAGAGCTGGAAGTCCAGAGCCCTTCCTGGTCCGATACAGGATAAGGTAAAGGCTCAGGGGGTCCAAAGCAGAGCAAGGCTGCAAAGTGGAGCAGCCGCTTGGGAGTGTGGGGCAAGGGGGCATGCCCCGGCATCTTTAATGTGGACTCACTCACAGTCTTTTAACTCTTTCTGGGGTCTGCCTCAGATGGGCGGCTCATGAATAATTCAAAGTTAGAGTTGAACACTACTATCAGTCCACTCTTGACTCTCCAGCACTGGCTGCGTCTCATCTTCTCCATGATCTGCTGAGTTAGGCAGAGACTGGTCAGTGCTGGAGCAGATGGAAGGACCAGTAGACCAGGCACACGAGGAAAGGAAGGCCAGGGCCAGAGGAAGGCCAGGCTCTGTCCCTTGCTCTAGCCTGCCTCTCTCTAACTCCAAGATTTGTAAGGGGGCTTGACTCTGCTACTCCTGGGGGTTGGAGGAGTGGTGAACATTACTATGTAGAACAGACCCCAGGTCCTTTCTGTACTCCAACCACGTTGTTCTTCCCAAAGATAATTCATGGATGACTTCATTACTTTGAATCTGTCTAAATTCACCTTTGTGTTACATAAAGTATTCTATAAAGTGCCTGATGCATTTCAGATACCCTGTAAATTTAAAATGTTCTCTTTCTGGCCACACTGGGATAGGAAGAAGCACATTTTGGAAAGCATGGGTGGGGGTCAGTTGTCTGTCTAGCAGATGATAACCGGAAGCTCTGTGTGCCTGAGTGTGCACAAATGAATTCAGTGTGGCCTTTGCCTTCAAGGAAGCTTAAGTCTAGTGAGAGACAGCAGGCTCAAAACAGGTTGTTGGGCTCTAAGTTCTGAGGACCTTGGCTCCATCCGGGAAAGCCTTCTTGTTGTTATGAGCTGATTGGCAGCCAGACAGGAGAGCAGCCCTGGATGGGTGTGTCTTGGGTGATAATTGGCATCCAGCCCCACCCTGTTCCTTCTCTGAGTGGCCAGCCAGGTAACCCTCAACCCCCCCTCTGCCCACAGAGTCTAAATGTCCCAGGCCTAGATCCCTCTCTCCCTCTGGCTGGGTCTGGTCAGCTCTGGCCTTGAAGGTCCTTGAGGTTGTGCAGGACACCAATGACTTTGCAGAGCTGCAGAGCTTCCTTCTGCCTGTGACTGTGCAGTTTTGGTTCCTACATTTGGGTGAATTGAAATTCATCTCCAGCGCGAGCTCAATGCAGAGAGCGTTGGTCAGCTTGAAGGGCCGCAGCCTGGGAACCTCCTCTGTCTGGCTCAGGTGGGAGGCGCATGCTCCTTTACTGGTTCTTGCGGCCTCTTTAGTCCAGTTATGTTCAAGATTCTCTGAAGTGATGAAATCCATTGCTCTGGAGTAGATTTTGACCAAGAGCTATCCTGTAGCACAGAGTAAAACTGCTCCCACAGTGTTTCAAAGATTGTAACCTTTATGGATGTGCTAGCTTACAATAAAAATGAGGAAAAGGAAAATAAGCTTCCTACTGATTTGAGTTTTGCAGACAAAGATAGGATAGGGGACTTCTCCACCATCAAGTTATTCAACTGCTGAGATGTTTCACAGGAGAAAGATGAGCAGTCTCCTCTTGTGTGATTTACTGCCTCTGAAAACTCGGAGAGTCAGCTATGGGTCCAGTCCTGACCTGATGGTACACAACAACAACAAGTCTTTGTAGAAGCAGACTTCCACATCCTCCTCCTGTGAAACAGTTCCTGGCTATGAACCACCAATCTCTGTAGTGCTCCTTTCTGAAATGATTGATGGGTGCTGGTGAAACTGGGTTAGGGACCTCCTTTGGTCTCCCAACCCCATCTTTCTCCTTAAAGTAATACTTGAACAAGTAAAGTAAATGGCATACTGAGCCATTTCTTCTCATGTGATTTACAGTCTCTAAAACTTGGGGGGAAGGTCAGCTATGAGTTGGTTCAAACTCAACAGCAATGACTGAGGTTTTTTGTTTGAATGTCGTAAATAATCATAGCATGGAATAGTAGAAACCATGTCTAACTGATCACTGTTGTCTGCTTCTAAACCAGCTCCTGGCAATTAGCAGACCCTTGGGTAATATATGCAAATAATTCTAAAGTGTCATTTGCTACAGTTTTGATCTTTGCCTACCCTTCCTTACATTTTTACAAAAATCAGTAGATGAAAAGTCTCACAGTAGACTTATGCTTTCACCTTATCCCTGAAGTTAGGTAATTCATCTTAAAGTTCAGATACTAATAAGCTAATTGCTAACACTTACTGGACATTTACTTTTCTGTTGAACATAGTTTCACATTCAAAATTTCATTTTGTCCTTAAAATAACCCTAGGACATGAATGTTATTATCTCTACTTGACTGAGGAGGAAGTTAAAACACAAAGGCGTTAAATAACTAGTCCAGGTTCTCATGGATGGTAGACAGCCAAGTTTCATTTCAAACTCAGGCAGTCTAACCACAGAGCCCAAACTGGTTTACAAGGACAGAAGGAAGAAGGAGGATCTGGATCATGGTCAATACCCAAGAGCGTCCCTCCAGTGTGGGCTGGTTGTGAGTTGGCCCCGAGGTCAGTTCACTGGAGGCATTGATTTGAGCTATGTGTCCCGTTTGACCCTCAGACCTGCTCAACAACCACATCCTGAAGTCTGCCATGTGTGCAGAAGCCATTGTGGCTGGGATGTCCATGGAGACACTGGAGGGCACCACACTCGAGATGGGCTGTAGTGGAGACATGCTCACCATCAATGGGAAGGCCATCATCTCCAACAAAGACACTCTGGCCACCAATGGGGTGATCCACTATATTGATGAGCTGCTCATCCCAGACTCAGGTAAGCCAGGCTTCAGGGAGCCTTGTTCCTTGACGAACCCGTCCCCTCTGCCTTTGGTGGTGGCAGGGCTAGAGGGAATTCAGATTACTTCCTTGCCTAGACTCAGTTCACAGCTTCTCATGAGAGAAGGTGGGGACAGCCAGGAGGCTAAGGTTCTTGAATCTCACACATGGAAATCCAGGCATTATCTTAGAGGCAGTGGGAAACCACTGAAGGTGAGTGGGAGGGAGTGACAGGACCACAGAGTCATTTCTGAAGACCTGTCTGCTCTGCTTGGGCACAGAGTCCCATTTGCTGACCTCAGAGTATTTACTTTCTCAATGGTGCCCCAGCCATCCTGGGGTCACTGGCCCAGGGAAGAGTGGCTGAATGAACTTTGGCTTATGTTTCATTTAGTATGCAGGCCCCATTCTAGAATTCCAGGCAGGCTTGCTGCTGGAAAATGGAGTGGGGGAAAAGAAAGACCATCCTTCATTCTGTGAGGACTGGCACCATTATCTATCATTCAGGAGCCGTAAGACTGAGAATGCCGTCTTCCCTCCAGCACTAGGAGGACTGGTCAAGCTGTCCCCAGGGCTTGGGCCACCACCACCACCTGGCCTCTCCTTCCCCTCTCTTCTATTATCTGAACCACACCTCACCTCCCTGACCAGTTAAATTTTTTGGGTGCCTGTCCCCTCTGATGATACAAACCTGCTGAGTCCCAGCAGTGTTTAATGGGATTGTTGACTCATGAGACAACATTCCTACTGATGAATGTCATGCTCTTGGGTGCACGGATGGTAAATGAAAACAGCACTTTTAACTTTTGAACCCACTTTCTCCTTCCTTGTAGCCAAGACACTATTTGAATTGGCTGCAGAGTCTGATGTTTCCACAGCCATTGACCTTTTTAGACAAGCCGGCCTCAGCTCTCATCTCTCCGGAAATGAGAAGTTGACTCTCCTGGCCCCCCTGAATTCTGTGTTCAAAGGTAAGATGGGGGGAAATACTGCTGTTGGTTTGACTGTGTGGCCACCTCCTCTGCACCCAGCCCGGTTCACAGCACCCCTTGAAGCATTAGCGCTTCCACCCTAGCCCAACTGAAAGCAGATGTGACTTCACCAGAGAGCACCGAGGCTCTGTTGTTCCATCTGGCAGAACAGAAATGCATTTGGAGATCCATTCCTTAGAATGCAGAGGTTTGCATCTGCCGGGAGAGAGGAGTGAGCCCTGCCTTTCTATGCATACAGTCTACTGCCAGTGTGGTAGTTAGGAGGACAGAAGGGAGAGACTTCCAAACCTGGAGACACCACAGGCAGCCCAGTGAAGGCAGCCAAGCTCTGTCTTCCCTTCCCTCTGAGGGCAAAACTCCAAACACCCTCCATCATCTGGACCTTTTCTTTCGATTTCTCCTTTTTTTATTCACATAAAGATGCCAGATGTTAAGAAATTCTGGCAGCCTCATTTGATTTCTCAATCTCCATATCCAAACTCAAGCGAGGAGGCTCTTTTTACTAAATTTATCTCCCAGATCATTTGCTTCATTTCAGGAACGTTCCCCTCTGAGCCTAACGCACATCTTCTCTTCCAGATGGCACCCCTCCCATTGATGCCACTACAAAGGACTTGCTTCTGAACCACATGATTAAAGACCAGCTGGCCTCCAAGTATCTGTACCATGGACAGACCCTGGAGACTCTGGGTGGCAAGAAACTGAGAGTTTTTGTTTATCGTAATGTAAGTGCTGGTTCCTACGTCAAATTCCTTCATTCAATCAGAGGAGTCCCTAGGTGACTCAGATGTCTAATTGCATAGCTACTAATGAAAGAGTTTGCTGTTCAAATTCACCCACAAGAGCGTTGAAAGAAATATCTGGTAATCTGATTTTGAAAGTCACAGTCATGTGACCATGGAACACAGTTATCTGCTGCACACATGAGCGGCTGGTTTTCATTGTGTTAAAAGTGTTCTCTGTAAGCTTATTTTCTTGAAAGTATATTTGATTCAAAAATGAGCTCCTACAGAAGGAATGTTGTTGTTGTCGTTATGCTCTGTTGAGTCAGAATGAACTCCTAGTTGACCCTCCGGCAGGTTTTTAGGGGCAATCAATTGCACGGGAGGAGATTGCCCATCTTTCTCGTGAGGAGCATCTGGATGATTTGAACCGCCTGCTTTTGGGTTGGCAACGCAACTCATTGACACTAAGTCTCCAGTGCTCACCATATTACCAAAACAGAAGGAATAAAATCTCCATATTCTAAATATAGGGATCTGACCAGGATGGCTTAGCAGCAGTCAGGTGGAAGGAGACATGTAGAGGTTTGGAGGCCTATGTAGCTGACGTGAAGAGAAGCCCTTGGACTGAACACTGAGACAGCCCTCTTTGGTTCACAAGGATTTCTCTTCTCTTTTTCTGCTTCTCCCTCTTTCAGCTCTGCCATTACCCTGGAGTATCAGAAGGAAACACAATATAACACATTCTGTCCACTTGGCTAAAGATGGCAGTCATCTCTTAAATCATGTGTTTCTTTTGTGATGGCTGATGAACCTCATTGTAACAAGCTGTCCTAATGTTGAGGATTCTGTGCAACTTCACTGAGGTGTCTGTGGCCATTCTTTCTTTAAGGAAGATCTGTTTTAATTCTTCCTGTATAAAACATGTCACTTCATCCTAGTGCCTCTCCCCAATACATAGTCATTGATCTTCGCGGATGACATCATTAGCCTTTGCTCTGAATAGGTCAGCAGCCCTGGGCCTGGGAAGATAACCAGCCTTTCTTTACCCCTGTTCCATGCAGAGCCTGTGCATCGAGAACAGCTGCATCGCCGCGCATGACAAGAGGGGGAGGTATGGGACCCTGTTCACCATGGACCGTGTGCTGACCCCCCCAATGGGGACCGTCATGGATGTCCTGAAGGAGGACAATCGCTTTAGGTAATCAGCCCCATCTGAGGGTGGGCCTTCTGCTAAGTGACCATGTTAGGACTTGATACTAGACTCAGGTATTTGGCAAGTTGCCCATTCCTTGGGGTTCACAGCTCCCTGATGTGATAGTCCAGCTTGTGCAGGCCGAGTATAGAAAGGACGAAGATCACTTTGAAGGCTTATGTTGGAGAAGAGTTATTTCTGGAAGAGTAGGGCTCACATCCATGGGGATGTGAGTATAGCTGTGAGCCTCATAGGACATTTTTATCCTAAAATGGGGGAAATAGCACTCTTGCTTGGAGGTCCTAGTGGAACAGAACAGGCGTGGTTTTGAGCGTGATGAGTGTCCCTCGCCCTCTGTGGATTTCTTGCTTATTGCAATTGGATGTCCCTCAGCTCTCCTTCTAAGGCTTCCCACGTCTGTGTTTTCTTGCCCTGCTCTCTTCATTTCTGTCTCATTCACCACTGGGTGCTGACACATTGAAAGTGGTTTCCTGTTCCTCAGTTCAGGGCCTGGGAATCACCTTCACGACACCCCACGCAGTAGCTGAGCTAGCCTCTGGGTCAGCTACCCCTCTTCCTCTCCTTTTCTTCTTCCTAACTCTGAATCTTTAACTGCTCACTACTGTTCATTCTTGAGTTGGAACCAACTCAGAGCCAATCATTCAGTGAGTTTCCCAGAGCAGTAAATCACATGGGAGGGGATTGCCCATCTTTCTCCCATGGACCAGCTGGTGGATTTGAATCCCCAGAAAGGCATCACCTTTAGGTTAGGAGGGAACTCCCTTCTGCCTACACCACCGTTTACCTTGGCTATTTAACTGTGGCCTGCTGGGTGGGGAGTTGCACTGCCAATCCAAAGACACAGCATTTGAATCTTCGAGCTGCTCTGAGGGAGAAAGATGGGAATTCTCCACCTATGCAGTTTACAGCCTCTGAAAACCTCAATAGTCAGCTGTAAGTCAGTTCTGACTTGACATCAGGGAGTTAGTTTATTTAGTTCTTTAACTGCACTTACACTGAGGTGGAGAGTAGACCTAATCTTTCTCTCAAGTGTGGGAACTCTGGCAGTCTGGGAACATCCCAGGGGTGAGGTGTTTGATGACAGTGCCCCACCACAGGCAGGTGACATATGTGTGTATCCACAGCATGTTGGTGGCCGCCATCCAGTCTGCAGGACTGACTGAGACCCTCAATCGGGAAGGGGTCTACACAGTCTTTGCTCCCACCAATGAAGCCTTCCAAGCCATACCTCCAGGAGAGCTGAACAAACTCTTAGGTAAGGATCAACCCAAGTACATTTTTCAACTTTTAGGAAATAGCTATACCTGCTAGGGTCCCAGGAGGAAACAGAATACGACAGATAATTTAACTGGAAGGAATGCACTGACAAGACTGTAGAGCTGTAGGCAGGATGAAAGGAACTACAAAGAATGATAACAGCCAGGAACTAACAACCATGGGAAGCCTTGGAGCCACTTGCCCCAGACGTGGAGGAAGTGGGAGTGGGAGCCAATAAGAACTGGAGACACAAGAGACCACAGGACAGTAGTCATTATCTGAACCCTGGCAAGGGGGACACTGAGTACCCGGCCTCTCTCTCTTCCCACCCCTCCAGTTACCTTTAGGGCCTGCTGTTTCCTACTTATAGAAAGGCAGAAAGCCTCAGCGATAAAGTTCGTATAGCTGTGAGCCTCATAGGACATTAAGAGGACAAAGAAGAGCAGAAAAGGATTTGAGACTAATTAGCAACAACGCAGTAACAGGGTCTGTTTTCTATTGTTGTTTTATGTGCCATCAGAACCAATTCACAGCTGACCTACCAGCAGGTTTTCAGAGGGAGTAAATTGCACAGGAGGAGATTGCCCATCTTTCTTCTACAGAGCAGTTAGTAGATTCAACCACATGTCTCTGGGTTAGCAGTACAGCTCCTTACCCACAGGCCACCAGAGCTCCTGTTTCCTACTAAGGATGTATGAAAGAAAGCAATGAATGATGTCATTTGTCAACATTAAATGTCCCTCTGTAAAAGCTTTATTGTTGTTGTTGTGTGCCATTGAATCAAAACCAATTCATAGCTGACCCTTTGGTGGTTTTCAGAGGTTGTAAATTGCACAAGAGGAGATTGCCCATCTTTCTACCTCTGAGCAGGTGGTGGATTCAAACTGCTTGCCTTTGAGTCGGCAGTGCAACTCCTTACCCTTTGGCCATCTGAAACTCCTTCGAAGTTTTATAAAGAAGTTAAACGTGGTCCCTAGAGTTATTTAGGATTCTGGGAAACAATATAAGAACTTGAGTACTAGACAACCAGAAGATAGATTCAAATACAGACTCATTCATGTACCAGCCAAGTGACCTCTAAAAAGGGACTTAATCATATTTAGCTTCCAATTTCCCATTCAAAACTCAGCTGCTTGCTATCAAGTCAAAACTGACTCATTGCTCACCCTCTATTGGGTTTCTGAGGCTATAAATTGTGCAGGAAGAGACTGACCATCATTGACCGACCACCAAAAAGGCATGACTTTTGAACGACAGGAGAGACACAACTATATATGGACTGGACCACCAGACCGCCCATTCAAAACCAGAGGCTGCTAATAGGATCCTGGTCATTGTGTCATGGAGATTAAATGAGATGTCAGGGTCAGTGATAGGGCCACACACTTAACCGGTCAGCTGTGTTGACAGAGGGGTAGGTGGGGCTTGTGCCACTCAACAGCGAGCCGAGCCCAGGGAAGAGGAAGGCTCTTGGCAGAAATCTGGGTCCACGTCACCCACACCCCACTTCCCACTCTCGTGCAAGGAGAATAGAAAACTCAGGTTGCAAACAGTGCAGAACTGAATTTGTGTCTTGTTTAATCTTTGTCGCTAAATGAATGTCTGTGTCTGGCACTGACGCATGTTCCCGACGAGAGGGGAAAAGTTCATTCTGAACATAAACTTTGCATCGGAATTTCCCCAGGTGGGCTGAGCCAGCCCAGCTTCCATTTCATTTTCAGCTGTATAAGAGCAGAGTCGCTGGACACGGTGCCAACATTTAACAGGGCTTGGCTGTTTGAATCTACCCAGAGGCACCTTGGAAGAAAAGCCTAGAGAGCTACTTCTAAAACACCAGCCACTGAAGACCCTCCAGGGCACAGTTCTGCCCTGACACAATGTCATCACCAGAATTAGCTTGGTGGCCACTGGTTTGTTTGGTGCTTAGGAGGAAAATAGCCCCCCACCCTGCCATGCCCTCAGCCAGGCCCTGCAGACAGGATGAAAAACCCAGCAGGCCTGCTGGGCGTGGATGGATCCTGTTGGTTGAGCTCTCTAGAGGAGGAGGTCTTTGGCCTCAGTGCCTGGCTTGACTTTATGGTATATAACATGTAGGAAGTATTTTCGCTTGGAAAGAGAACTCTAGTGGGTTCCAGAATGTGGATGTCTGTGAATTGCTTGGTGTCTGGTGGCCCCATCCAGGGCACTAATGCAGATGTGTTGACAGCCAAGGGAACTCTCTAAAAGGCTCTGCAGCTTCCCCTGTCCTCAGTTTCAAGATGCTGGAAATAGCCCTCAGTAAGCCCTGGGGAAATTCAGCCATTTGGCTGGTAATAGGAGGATTAGAGGCAGCCATGGTGGAGATAAGAGTGCAGCTGGCAGCTTGAAAAATTGCTTCCCACACTTAATTTGGGAAATGCCTGTGCACCTTTATGAGCAATAGGATGCCTGGCCTCAGTTGGTGGAGAGACTGATGTGGGCTGGAAGGAATGTCCAGACGTGATGCGGAGGGATGTGGTGGAGGGAATACCCCCCTCGGCACTGACCTCATCGGCTCCATGGCTCCTCCAGATTGCAGCTGTTGAGTCTTTTAAGTTGTCCCTTCAGGAAATAACCACCTCAAACAGAATATGCATTTGAGGGTAGAATGTGTAAATATTTCACTACTGTGTTATAACTGTCGGGAGCCACATTGATGATGAAATGTCCCAGATGCTGGTACTGGAAAGATCCCTGGCTTTCCAAGCAAATATTTAGCTCATGGAAACATGAGTCATGCTTACAGAGGCGTATGGATTAACTCCTTCTCAGTCCAGCCTCAGATAGCATCCAGTGGCTGAAGGGCCAGTGTAACAGCTATAGGAGTGTACCTTATGTCACTGAGCATAACCCACGTGGTGGGTCACAGGCTGAGTGCACGGTAGGAGCTTAAAGACTGCTTATTGCCTGGACAAGCAGTTCTTCACAACACGGAGCGACCTCTTACATCTCTCTACCTGTGCCCTCCTTGGCCATGACAATTGCCAACTTGAGAATAACTCTATCTCCTTTTCCTGCAAACCTGCAGGAAATGCCAAGGAACTTGCCAACATCCTGAAATATCACATTGGCGATGAAATCTTGGTTAGCGGAGGCATTGGGGCTCTGGTGCGACTGAAGTCTCTCCAAGGCGATAAGCTGGAAGTCAGCTCGGTGAGTCTTCCCTCAAATCAAAAGGCGCCCTGTGCCCTGCTCAGCTCCAGGGTGGCATGAGACACATGTACTCTAAGGTGCATCCTGAAACTCTGAGTGCATTTTATACACACACACACAAAAAAAAAAGAAAAAAGCCAGGCCAGTTGCTGTTGAGTCAATTCTGACTCACAGCCACTGTGTGTGTGTGTGTGTGTGTGTGTGTGTGTGTGTGTGTGTGTGTGAGAGAGAGAGAGAGAGAGAGAAAGTAGAGAGTAGAGATGTGCTCCATAAGATTTTCAATGCCAAAGAGAAAGGAGGGGAAAAACCCTTAAAGGAAACCAAGTAAGACTGTGGTTAGACATGAGCAAGAACTCCCAGATTTGCAGGGTAATAAAGCATCTTATTTGGCCTCTGGGAGAGGCTATTAAATCCTTCTTTCCTTAAGGAAAGGGCGTTATAAGAGATCAATCCCCTGTTCTTATTTCCATCTCAAAATAAGGGCCTCACTGAGCTGAACCTGACCGTCTCAAGAGGCTTTGGTCAGTGGTGTTGTTGGTCTGGGGCTTGTCTGTGAGCCCACCCCTGCTCAGCGTATTGTTAATACACGTTCCACTTAGGAGCTATGCTTAGAGGCTCTGTTTGGAGAAGGGATTTTCCAGCCCTGTTGCAGGAGTCTACCTGAGATTTCATTGTATGCACTGCTGAGCATCCCACGCAGGGGCCATTCTTCCTGTGCGTGACTAGCTTAGTTTCTGTTCCCTCTTGCTCTCTCCTGATCTTCTGCCCTTTCCTTGCTCATCGATTTCTGCAGCATTGGCAGCCCGGTAGGAAAGTTGAGATGAGAAAAAGTTGTTTGATTTCTGCAAATCCCCTGAGAAATTCTTAGTATGCAGGGCTGGATGTTGCAGTCCTGTCTGAGCTGGCTCAGTGCGTGATTGCTCCCTTGAATCTATTACACTGATCTGAGATAGAATTTCCTTGGGTGGGGAAGTCTTCAGTGAGCTCTTCACACAAAGCTGGAGGCCTGGCTTCTATTTCCAACTGTCCCACCTAATTAGCTTAAAGAAGCCACTTTGCCTCTCTTAAGGCTTACTTACTTTCCTCTTCTGCTTGGTGGGACATTAAGATAGACTCTCATTGCCACGCACATTGTGAGGATAAGTGCAGTAACATATTAGAACATTGTGCACATTGCAATGTATTGAATCCACACAAAAGATTAGTATTAATCCACACTGAAGGTCTGTTGAGAAACACCAATCACCAGAGAATATGCTCCTGATACTCTCTGTACTGAATCTGACATACCAAAGTGTTTGGTAAATATTAGCAAAATGAATACACCGTGCATTCAACAATTGTCTCATTTTTTCCTCAGAAAAACAATATGGTGTTTGTCAATAAGGAGCCTGTTGCTGAAACTGACATCATGGCCACAAATGGCGTGGTTTATGCCATCACCAGTGTCCTGCAGCCTCCAGGTAAGTTACCACCTGGTCCCGAAGCTTTGCTTTCCCATTGAGCCTGTAGCTGGTCCTTGTCTCAGGTGGCAGTTGGTGTTCAGGGAAAAACTCTTCCAAACTCAGGGATATGTTGTTGTTATGTGCTGTCTAGTTGGAACCGACACATAGCTGACCTTCTAGTGGGTTTTCAGAGGCAGTAAATGGCATGGGAGTTGACCATCTTCTCCCATGAAGTATCTGGTGGATTTGAACCGTGTGCTTTTGAGTTGACAGTGCATCTCCTTATCATTAGGCCATCAGAGCTCCCTCAAGAGATAGAAATAACCTAGAATTTTAACCAACTGCCTACACCACCTATGACTGATTAAAAAGTAACAACTAGGAACTGTTGGTTTTAAACAAATTACACTTCTCTTCTGAATTGTGTGGGTGCCAAGCCCCATTCACACACAGCCCAGTTGTTTGTACACTATGGATGCTGTTAGCATGATTCCAAGGCTTCCTCATAGAGAATCTCAGCTGGCTGAGGTCTCTTTGTTTTGTTGTTGTGTGCTGGCAAGTTGATTCTGACTCTTTCCGTTATAATAACACTGTAGGACAGAGTAGAACTGTCCTAGAGCATTCCCTAGAGTAGTCTTTTCAGAAGGAGGCCTGGTAGCATAATGGTTACATGTTTGACTACTAACCACAAGGTTAGTGGTTTGAATGCAGCACCCACTCAGGGACAAATGACCGTGCCCCTAAGTTTATAGCTTAGGAAGCCCAACGCGGCTCTTTATCTATGTTCTAAAGGGCCAGTATGCATTGGAATAGACTCAATGACACACGACCACAATCTCTATAGGAACGGATCAGTAGGTATTTGCTTTTGTGAAGTGGTTGGTGGGTTTGAGCCACTAACCATTGTGCCACAAGAGCCCTCCTGTAAAGCAGAACTTCAGCCTGGCCTCTAGCCTCACTTGTGCGCTCTCCTTTTTTTTTTTCCCTGTCTCTGTCCATGAGGCAAATTCCACCATGAGTTATGAAAAATTACAAAGGGAAAATTCATTTGAAAATGTAAGCCAGCAAGCCCAACGGTGCCCCTCAGTCATAGGTATTATTAGTGACATGCTAATAGTTTCTCTCACTCACAAAAGCTGCCTTTTCTTTACTTTCCAGCCAACAGACCTCAGGAAAGAGGAGATGAACTTGCAGATTCTGCACTAGAAATCTTCAAACAAGCCTCAGCATATTCCAGGGTAAGATGTCTTGTGGGCTTGCCCTTTGGGTCGTCTGTGTTGGTCCATGCAGGAGGCTCCACGGGCCCCTGGCCTCCTTGACTGCTCTCCCAGTATTCTCTCAGAACTTCTCCCTATTCCCATGGGGTCTTCTCACCCCATGGCCAGTGGAATTCAGAGAGAGGACCCCAAGCAACTTCTACTTCCATTGTGGGTCAAAGCCCAGACCTTAAAAATGAAGAGGTCACTGCTGTTGAGAATGGTTTCAGTTCTGGATTTCCAGACTGAGTTTGCTTTGCAGTAGTTAGCTTCTTTGGCCCGGGCCTCCAAGTCACCAGTTTGTTTCAGGACTTTGCCATCACAGGTGATGCTGGAGTTTCCCTTGGCAGGGGTGTGGATCTGTGCAGGGAGGCTGAGGCAGAGCCTCTTTGCAGGTGTGGAGGCTGCTTTCTTTGCTTCAGCTCTTCCCTTTCTCCAGAACTTCTGCGACTCTTACACTACTCCTTTCCATGGCCTCCAGCTTGTCCAGATCCTTCAAGCCCTTTCTGTGTATGGGTCATCTGGGCCTTAGGCCAGGTGAGGTTGTTTGGGCAAGCAGAGCCCTTTACTGAAGGTTTGCAGTTCCCAAGAAGAAGCTGCAGGGGGCAGCCTTTAGCTCAAATGCCTGGAGTGCTAATGTGACACTTCAGGTGGGTCTCTTTAGTGAGTGACCCTCAGGAAGTAGTTTGGCCTTGAGTGGCTACTACTAACTCAACCATCTGTGCAGGCGCAACTCCACAAACCCTACACTGGAAACTATGCTTCCAAAGGCCTCAGTTGCAACTTACAGCTGCTAAGGCTGACTAAGGGGCTTCCTAGGCCCATCAATTCCACTTCCTCTTTTCTTCTTCTCACCTCCAGCATATTTTTATGAGTAGAGGTGGCATTGGGCAAATTCATTGTCATGAGCAGATACAGGTACAGATATGCTTCTAATTAGAAATACTGATACCTTGTGTGTTGTTATTTTTTTTTCAGTCTGCCCAGAGATCTGTCCGACTAGGTAAGTCTGGCCTGGCTTTGCAGTCCCCACCTCACCTCCAAGCAGGGCAGATCCTGGCATCTGCTGCACACAGACAAGAACATCTTGCTGTAACAAAATAAACCTGGCCTTTAGGCTCAGATCAACTGGGGGAATTTCCTTCTTTTTCCAAAGATAAAAATAATAGTAGTGAAGTAGGAGTTGGGGAGCTGGGGAATATGGCACAGGGGCTTGGCAGAAGCCTATGATGAGGAATCTCAAGCTGGTATATTAGAAAGTCTCAGCTCACATCACCAGACATTGAATAAGATGTGAAGTTTCACACATGCCAATGCAGCGCCTACTGTGTGCAGGATCACACGGAAGGAGTGTCTGTGGCCTCCATCCTCAAGATTCCGACAGTCCTGGGTAGAGGGGTAGGGGAATCTGCACTTTCACCTTTTAAACTCCTCTCTTTCAGCCCCTGTCTATCAGCGGTTATTGGAGAGGATGAAGCACTAGCTGAAGACCCACAGGAAGAATACACTTCAGCAGCTCCCCACCAACTTCCTCTCAATTTCCTAAAGAGACTGGATGTTTTTTTAAATCAAATACCACACTTCAATGTATATGGGCCGCATCATAATGACAACTGAGCCTTGGGTAGGGGATGGGGTGGGAGGAACAAAAGAAATGTGTTGTTTTTTGTTTTTTGGGTTTTTTTTTCTTCCCCTAAACATAGCTTTTAACCCCTCCCATACAAAGACCTCAAGGTTGTTGTTTGGCATTCACTTCCAAAAAGGACCCCTTCCAAATGTGGCATTTCTTCTCTATGCCAAGTGCTCTGGAAAAGGGAGCTGCTGTTTCGTGGAACTCACGAAACATGAATTACACAATTGAGCATTATGTATGGTAGTTGTGGCACAATTCTGTAAAGCTCTGTCATTTGGAGAAATGGCATCATCATAAGCTATGAGTTGAACTGTTCTGTCATTGTGTCTGGTGTGTGCATGTGGCTTGAACACTTCTATGTGGCCGTGTCCAGGTAGGAAAGAAAGGATACACAGAACATGTAGAGGCCCAATGTTTCCCAAGGAGAAGTGTGGCAGAGCCATGGTATGTTTGTAATAATAAAACCAAAGAAATATTTCTCCTGTGTGAAAGGTGACTGTGTTCCAACCTGTGTACTCAAGATGGCATGTTTCTGTGTCCCACACAGAAGCTTGTGGCTATGTTGATCCTTCACACTTCACTTCCACCTGGAGTCAGCTCAAAAAGGAGATTTTAGGGTGGAAGCTCTGGTGGCCTAGCGGCAAGAAGCTATGCTGCAATCTCGAAGGCATGCAGTTCGAGGCTACCAGTGACTCTGCAGGAGAAGCATGGGCAGTCTCCTCTTGTGCAATTAACTGCCTCTGAAAATGTGCCACAGTGTCAGCCACGGGTTGATTCCAGCTGTCCAGTACACAATACCAACAACATAGGAGAACCCAGCAGTTGGCCTTCAGATACCCCAATGGCACATGGAGACTAAACCTTTGTTGTACTTGCTTGCATGTCAGCCCCCACAAACTTTGGAGGTTCCAGTTTCCATTGTTCACATTTCCCAGTACTTTGCTTCATTTTATTGACTGGGAACATCTTCCTTCCTACATTCTGATCCTCCCCGTGTCCCCCACCTTGAAGTGGTCTCCAGTGTCATTATATGGATAGAAGAGGCTGAGGCTCAGAATGGAGAGTCACTGTAATGAAGGGAAGAGCTGAGCTGGGATGGGAACCCTAGTCTCCAGCCTGCCAAAGGTCATCATTAATAAGCAGGCAAGGCCATGTGGCCCAGGCACATCATTTCTGTGGTGCTCATGCTCACATTCTTTCTCCTGTTTAATTTCTAGCCTCTGAAATGTCTGTGGTGCTCTGAGAGGCAGTTTGACTGGGTCATCACTTATTACCTATGGGGCCCAGGTCAGTTATTTAACCTCTCAGGGCCTCTGTTTCCTCATGTTTGGTGGGTACAACAGGGTTGCATCTACCTCATGAGAGTCTATGAAATGGGTAATCCATACAAAAGTCCTGATGCAACATGAGCTATTTTAACTGTTCATCACACTGTCGGCGCTGCTCAGAATCAAGCAGTCGAGAGGCTATTGGTTCATCTTCCCCAAGGGTAGCCCACCTTCTGGGAGAACCGGAGAGTCCACCCACCTGACTCCACCAAGATGGATTCCTTCCAGCGACTTGTGTTCATTCCATTCAGTTGACCCAACAGCCCAACGATATGTCTATAGCACTACTGCAGGCCAGTCTACAAGTGCTGGAAATAAGCAAGATCCTTAATTAGCAGATTTCCTCCCTTAAAGCTTCCAGACTGGGGAAAGACATCATATATAATCAGTTCAAATTATTCATCCATTCCACAAATACTAAGAGTTACTTATGAGCACTCACTCCCTGGGGAAGACAGGTCTCTACTCCCATGTAGCCTTTGTGTTGATGGGGAGGAGACTCAGTGATGGACTAATCACATTGCCAACTGTGACTAGGACTCTGAAGGACAGCACTGTTGTTCTGTGACAGATGATAATGAAGTGGGACCCAGAGTGGTGTCCTGAAGCTCCTGGGAGTAGGAGAAGCTAAGAGGAGTTGAAGGGGCTGACCTGCAGGGAAAGGGGTCAGACTAGTGGGGACTCAGGGAGAAAGTATCCTGAGAGGTGCAGGTTCACTCTCTGCGTGCGCCTGGTCCCTGTCACTTGCTGAGGTCCTGCCCTGCCTGCTCCAGCCCTCTGGCAGGTTGTAGCGGGCACCACTGCAGGCTGCCCACGAAGGCCTTTGCTCATGCTGGGGGCCCTTTATCTGTGCTTCACTTTGACCATCCGAAAATTCACACATTTTCACTTTAACAAGACAACATCAGAAGGCAGAAATGATTCTAACTTTTCAAGATCTTTGGCACAGTAACTAAGCCAAAGGACTTGCGAGTGTCTGAGATGATGAGGATGACACAGGACAGGGCAAGGGTTCAATGTGTTGTTCACAGGGTCTCTGTGAGTCAGAGTCCAGATGGCACCTAACAGCAACATCAGAGTCTTTCATTATTTTTTAAAAAGAACACATGATTCCTCAAGGCAATTCCCTCTTTTGCCCTCATTTGCTCTTGTTGCCTGCCACCTCCACGTCACCAACCAAAGGACTCCATTCTTTAAACTCGCCTGTGAGTGGTCCTGCTTGTAGCTTAGACCCATGCATGGCTACAGACCTGCCCTCCCCCAAGGAGAGAGTTTAATGCCCTTTTCCTAGACCCTTAACATGCACTCTAATTCTGATTCTCATGAAGACTCAAGCTAAGCCGTGGGTGCTGTCATCTGGAGGACACACTCCCAGAACTGAAGGGTGCCCAGGGAAGGGAGGTGTGTGCCTCCCTGTGCCCCGCCCCATCAGGAGGCCAGAGGCAGTCCCAGATGGAGAGCGTTCAAGCCCAGCCTGAGCCCTTCTAGCCGAACCTCAGCCAAGAGAGGAGAGGGAGAAGGGCAAGGGGTGCTAACTTGGTCCACTTCTCTGTCATTTGGGAGCTACAAGGACTTTTGGGCTTCAAAAGCACCCAACACTGGGGTCCTGCAGGCTTCCTGGGATGGAGGTGTGTCTTTTCTACATGGGATGCAGCAGCCACCTACACCTGGTCCCACTGACCAAATGAAAGGCCAGCCCAGCAAGAGTGATGAGCTGGAGGGTCACTGCTCTGGGCTCTCTGCATGTTTCTGCTTCTACCAAGAGTGCATCTCAGATGAAGCAGACCACACACTCCCTGTGATGGTGGTTACCAGAAGACTCCAGAGAGAAGACCATCTAGGGGATTCTTTTTCACTCCTGTAAAGAAAGCCCCATGTTTCCAGTGGGAAGGAGATCGCTAACTTTATAGCAGAAAGAGAAGAGGGGAAACAAAATAAATCTAGGTGCTAGTTATTCACAGAGATGAGACCACTGAAGAAAACTCAATCCAATGAATGAAGCCAAAGCCTGAGGATATGTCCCATCATCATCCTCTCTTGCCTGAGTCCCAGGAATTCCCATCACTTTCAGAAAGCTGAACAATGACTAAGGATGACAGAGGAAGAATTGACGCCTTTGAGTTGTGGTACTGGAGAAGAATCTTGAACATACCATGAACCACCAAGAAAACAAATCGATCTGTCTTGGAGAGGGTGAAACCAAGTTTCTCCTTGGAAGCTAGGATTTTGAAGCTCCATCTCACTCACTTTGGGCATATGGCCAGGAGGGAATGATCCTTGGAGAAGGATATCATGCTCAGAAGGGTGGAGGGACAGCACAGGAGAGGAAGACCCCGGATAAGATGGATTGATACAGTGACTGGGGCAATGGTGGTAGGTGTGTCAGAGTCAGTGAGACTGGTTCAGGACAGGGCAGGCTTCAGAGCTGTTGTACGTAGGGTCACTTTGAGTTGCAGGCAACTCGAAAGTACATAACAACAACAACATAGGTCTTGGTTAGAAAGCTCTGATGGCTTAGCAGTAAGAAGTCAGGCTGTCAGCCCAAAGGTGTACAATTCAAATCCACCAGTTGCTCCACAGGAGAAAGATGGGAAATCAACTCCAGTCCAATTTATTGTCTTCAAAAACCTGGTTGAGAGTAAGTTATGAGTTGGTTCCAACTGGATGCTACATAGCAACTGTGGGTCTTGTTTAGAGGAGAGAACCGTTATGAGAAGAACTCTGTGGTGGAACAGGCCTCTTTCCTCTCCCAGGCTCGCGCCCTTCTGCTGGCAGCACTTGAGAGCTGCCTCCACCCACTCACTTTGTATGAGACTCTGAATCCACTAAACTCAGACATTCTGGAAGGTTCTATTTTTCAAATAATGCCTCAGCAATGCAGTCAGTCCCACACTTTCCCAGAATCTTCTCACTTCTGTAGTAAGAGGCAGAGTCTAATTTTTCCTTAGGCTGACCTCTGTGACAGTTTTAAGAAATAGATCGCAAAGGAATCTATTCACTATGACTTATAAAACCAGGTCATAAAACGTAATTCAGATTTCTCTGGTTCACTCTCGTTGGCATACCCATTCTGAGGCATATCAACCACCACATTATGAGCGAGTCCAAATGAGCCCACAAAGAGCAACTATAGAAATTGTTCTAAGAGGAAGAAAAGAAAAACCAAACAATATCAACTACCAAACAAGTGAGTAAACAAACTATTAGATAACTGGAGTCCACGACTTCCATTGTGAAGCAGAGAAAAATTGTCTTCACTATGCCCTGTTCCAATTCTTGACCTATAAAATTTGTGAGCAGAGTTAATGGTTATGCTTTATGCTGCTAAGTTTTACAATAATTTGTATATAACCCTCCAGGGAGAATCAGCCCCCACTGAAACTTCTCTGGTGGATTTATCCAGACACGGCACATCTGTGTGCTTTCTGAACCTAGCCCTGAGTTTCCTTGAAAACTGAGATAAACCATAGGTTTCTACAGAACGGACTCTAAGGAAAGAGACAAGCAGGTATATGGAAAGCG